AAATAGAAGAAAAAAAAAGCATGCCTAATACATCCAGTCTTTGGAGGCCTAGCGGCCCAAACCATTGTCATATTCGGATTCAGCACATTTTTTTACCTATTACCCACCAGCTTAGAGCTAAAAAGCGAGGTGGCAATTGGTGACCTTCCCTCGTTAGTTCTGATAAGCAAGTAACCTAGTTTTCAATTTCAATCCAAACCTATTTTCAAAGACTGGCTGTATTAGGCATGCTTTTTTTTCTTCTAGTTTGAACACTCTTCGTTCTGTTGTGCTCTATATACAAGTACAGAACAGAAAATTCAAAACGTTAGACTATTAGAACTGCTTCGTTCATTCAGAAGTCTATATCAAGTTAAAAAAGGTTAAAAAAAAGACGGTAACATACGTACGTTGACCGTTCTGTCATTTATTTCTATTTAGACGTATAAATTATTATTCTCTAGTGTCAGATATGTGTACGTAGTCCAACTGGTAAGCGACAGAAACAAAAAAAAGAAAACGTATCGATTGATAAACATTATTCGATACCTTCACGTAGGACATTTCAGGTAGTAATGTTGGGTTGACTTCAAGTTGTAAAAATCTGACTCGAAACCGAGTTACCGAAGTCAATGAGATGCTATAAAGTTTGTAAGTTCCATTTTCGCTAGAAATCCTCCGTAAAACATGATAAACGACAGTTCTTCAAAGCTAATAACTTAGAAATACTGATGCCGATAGGTTACCTATTAAAGATATCACGAATTCATTGATAACGTCATCGTTTTCCTCCCATTTTCTCTTGGCTCTACTCAGTTGCTACTTCTCACTTCTTATGTTAAGAAGAAACTGGTATCACCGGCTCTTGTTAATAAACGAATGTTTTATATTCGTTTTCAATAACAGATTCACATATTTTCATGATCTGCTCATAAAACGTCAACAAGACAGCTTCAAGATCAGTTTTCTGTCGGACATGTAATAATGAGATATTGCTTTCATATCTTGTATGCATAGAAGGTTACAGTCCATCTCAGCGAAAACACCGTTTACAAGAAACCATATCCTGAAATATCTGAAAAAATGTGCAAGTGTAAGTTGGTGTACAAAATCAACTGAGTTATTTCTCAGACAAAAACTAATTTTAGTATCATCAAATGATATTAACAAGTCGTTAATGCGCTCACAATTTTTTCATAAATACATAGAAATGCGTAAAATACATATACACATACGGGCAGCAAAACAAAACTCAAAAAGGATGTTTAGAATACGGGAGAAATTGTCAACTGTTTGTGGTTTTACTAGTTTTACTGTTAAAACCAATTCCGCCGAATGCCTAAAAGATCACCTGTGCATTAAAGCCAAACGAGTGGTAACGAGTAATGTTCACATACTACTCGTCTTCTTTGTGATACCTGATATGTATTATCATTGTATTTTCTCTTTAGTAATGCTCTGAACAAATGTTACCAACAGTCTTTGAAGATTTTCCGATTGAAATTCTATTCGAAATTTTTCGATATTTAAAGCCTTGTGTTATATTTTATAGTTTCTGTGATCTTAATAATCGATTCAGCTCGATTCTATATTCGTTTCCACTTCATGTGGATCTTGAAAATATTTCAAAATTCTTATTTGACTATTACTGTCAGCACATATTACCGTATGGTCGAATCATATCATTAAAATTATGCAATCAATATAATCGAATAAAGCGGTTTAATTCACATTTTAATATCGAACAATTTATTCTACTTTATTCATTAAAATTAACCGGCTTGACATCAGATGATTTAGAACAAATTCTTTCGAAAATATCAAAATTAGAACACTTGGCAATATTGGATATTAACGCATTGACGCCAAAAAACATGCATATTAAAAATATATGTGATAAAATACTAACAGATAAACTGAAATCGTTGAAGAAATGTTCACTGGCATTTTATCATCCATTGAAGCTTAATGAACTAACGCCGAAAAGTAATATTGAAACGTTACGGATGAGTCAACTGAATTCGATAAATGATTTAATTCGTTTATTCCATCACATTCCAAAAATTAGAACATTAGACATTGTATTATCTTATGATAAACGATTCCAAACGGTCCTATTTACAAACGAAAACAACCTTCAGTTATTAGTTCCAAATTTAACAATATTTCGAATTTCTGTTGGACAAACACCATATACACAGGTCGAATCACTATTGAAAAGTCTGCCACAATTAAAAGGTTTGTTAACATGAAGTAAAGTTTATCACCTTAGAACCGCGCTAAAGTTCAAATGTTGCTCGCAAAATGCTTCAAGGAAAAATGTCTTAAATTTTGTATTGAGTATTTATTCTCCTCATCTCTTCTCGTCGCCCTCTTGTAACCCATGTCAAATCGCGTGGAATGTGTGTCTTTTTCAACGAAAAAGAAGTATCACCGAAGCTTGTTCGATTCTGATCACTTTTTCAGAAAATGTCCAGTATTTCTGACGTTGAAGATGAATCCACGATCAACTGTAGTTTCTCTTTCAACATACATGTTTATCTTTTTAGCGAGAATTTCTAAAAACCTGATCCTAGATAATTTATTAGGATGGATTAAAACTTGATGGCGCTTGTAGAGCTACTCAAGTAGTACCTAGGACAACACTATCTCGAAAAATTGACGTGTAATTTTTGAAAAGTGATTCGCAATAGTAGCGGATTTACAATGGGTCTCGTCAGTATGATAGTGCATGAACATGTACAAAGAAGTCAATACAGAGGTGCAACCGATATCGGTATATCGGTATCGGTACGAATTATAACGCCGACCGGTATACCGGCATTAGTATGAAGTATAATCGGTAGGCCGATATTGCTGGTATTTTGCGGCATGATACGATGTTTTTCAAAAACATCGTGGAAAAGATTAATCTATCCGTTTGACAACATAAAATAAAGTTCACAGTGAAGAAAAACAAGGAAAAAGTATTTTTATTTAGGCAAAATATGATCAAGATAAGCCGGTATCGATCGGTACCACGGTACCAATGCCGGTTCGGTACCGGTACGAAGTTTGTATACCGGTGACCGGTACTGGTATCGCATTTTTAATACCGGTTACATCCCTGAGTCAATATATTCGTGTATACTCTACCCTGGTGAATGTACTCATGCGTGAGTACTCAAAAAGTACTCTGCTGGAAAAACTGGACGAGTACTCATGCATTCTAACTGAGTAAAAATACTCAAAAGGTGTTAGTAGAACTCATATGAGTACGCATAGTCATAGTATGAGTAATTTCCAAGGGGGAAAAAGCGGACTCCTGGACTCCTATGGACTCGTGAGTCCGCTTTTTCCCCCTTGGTAATTTCACCAGGGTAGCGTTTAATATCTATTTAGTTCTCTAAATATGTTTTTATTCTAAGGTTTGTCATTGAGTGCAACTGATATTAGTTATATAGACGGTAACAAACTGGAAGCTCTGTTTACAAAATCATTACCTTTATTAACAATATTTAACTTACATATTGGAAAAATATGGATAAAAGAGCCGTTCGATTTGGTCATTTCTTCTCTTTTTTCAACATTTCAAACCTCATATTGGTCTAAACAGAAACAAATTGTATTTGACTATCAAGATGGTATATTGGAAGTCTATACACGTCCATATTTTGAAATGATATTTAATACACATCTATACAATGTTAAACTGAAATCAACAGGCGAACAGTTAGATCAAAAAATATATGAGAACGTTCAAGAATTATATTTGGTTTTAACCACAAAGAAAGAGAAAGATCAAATCACAAAACGACAATTTGTCAATGTAAATTCATTAGTCGTATCGTTTTTATTAGAAAATATATCGTGTTTAACATTCGTAGATGATCTAGCACAGGTATGTTATAGATAAGAGTTTACTTGATGACTGAAGATGTAGCTGTACTCGACAAGATCAAGTTTCAGCTAAAGCAGGCTTGTTTATCGACCATTATAAGGTGCTTGTGGCAGGTGCAATTCTTGTCGTAATCAGTGCAAATTGTATGTAAAAGTTGTGAATCACAGGTCTAAATAAAAATATTTTAATAAAACACGCACCTTGTGATGTATTAGGATATCTCATTAATAGGTATGAAATGAAAGTGTACTAAGAGTATTTGAGCTCACACTTTATTGTAAATTCGACAGTTCTGTTTTTATATTTTCAAAAAATCTGCCTTTCTTTCAACTGGATAACTATTTTTCAACGAAATTAGACCTCCTCAGATATTTTTTCGACGAATTTCGCCTTCCTAAGGTTTATTTTCGCTGACAAATATTTTTTAATAAATGTAGATCATTTGACTCAGTTTTTGATGGTGATTTCGAATATAAACTTCATTTTGCTTTAAAATTGATTTTTGATAATGAAACTGGCAAAATACAAGCTCATTTTGTTGTTGTTTCTATCATTAATATCTAAATAATTTTTCTCGGCAACGAAATAGGTTATTAAAAAACTGAAATGTGGAGATTCGAATGAATAAGAGTTGAATAAGTTATGAATAAGTTATGTCTCTCAAATCCAGGGAGGCGATAGATTTGGAAGATTGATGAGTACTTTGTTCTGCCCATGAGACCGGATGAGACTTTACAACTTTGAAATACTGTAGTTTAGATGCAATGTTTCATAAGGAATAAGAATAAAATAGTTTTGGAATTTCCAATAGTTATCAAGTTAAAAGAAAGGCAGATTTTTAAAAATAGCACCAAAATTGGCTTAAACGACTCTTAACATTAATTCGAATTCTTTTCACCCCAAAACGGCTGGGTGGTTAAACTAAACTTAATGATATTTTGTTACAGGTACTTAATATTAGCTTTAAACGTTTCTGTCTATTTACAAGAATGTGCATACTTCGAAGTCATGTTTGTTCTTGACAATCATAGATAAAATTAACCTACCATTAATAAACATGGACCGATCAACTTCCAGTGTTATCTATGAGAGCCCTTACACTGTATATGTACACTATGAGAAAAATTCTTCATTTATATGTAATCGTAGGTCGTATGCAGAACAATGCAGAAAAGAAAGCCTCAATTTTAGTTTTTCCAGAAGTTTTCAGCATCTCAATCATCATTCCGTTCAAAATGGGAACAGGTTCCTAATCTATTTTTGCCTTTATTAAAGGGTAAAAATACATTTTTTCTTCGTTACAAAAGCAACCTTGAAAACAAATATTTTTGTATTTTTTTTTAATACTGCAATCTTTGCGTAAGACAGTTTCTACTTATTATTATTTCTTGACTGTTAGTTTGGCTTCCGATCCCATTGTAACAGACAGGACTGCTATAGAAGAGTACAGCGGATAAGGCAGCGTTCTCCTTTTTGTTGATCATTTTCCTATCACTTTCAAAAATTGTTCGGGTTAATGTACCACGTACAACATATACTGCATTGGTCATGGGTCTATAATCCAATATATTTTTCTATTGTAGTTGATCACATTATCAAATTTGAGTTCACTATCGTTCGATGGTAATCATATTCATTCAAAATATTTATTAGTTCAATTATTGGATGAAGCACCCAATATTACATCTCTAACACTCGATTATGATCTCTTGACTGAGCTAATATTTGATGATATTGATAAAATGAAAACATTTTGCTATGATAACATTCAAACATTAATCATTCATTCAATCTGGCATATTTCACATGAAGTTATAATTAAAGTTTTAAATTTATTCTTAAATGTCACTTATTTATCATTGGATATAGAAAGTAGTATAATATCGAGACTACGACAAACTCATAGTGTTAAACGCACACGGTTATCATCTTCTGACGAAGATAATCCAATTTATGATTTTCTAATTATATTATTGAAAAATCGAAATCAGAAGTTAAATCAGTTACATTTTCATTTAAAAAATCATAGATTTTTTGAATTTCTACAACTTAGTGGACGTTTACGACGTTATATGAACGAGACTAGGTTAGATGCTGATTTAGAATCTACGCCTAATAACGAATATTTACACATTTGGTTCCGATAGATTAGGACTTTGAAACATATTTAACATTCTGTCAATCTATTTAATAAAAAAGGATATGTTTTCACTCGATTACGATCTTATCACAAAAACATTTTTGTAACTTACTTATTTTAAGGTTAAAATAAAAGTCGATCGATTGATTGATCATTGGAATAATTCAAATAGTGCACGCTCGTTAAAGGATGTAGACGATTTTTTCTCCTCTTCTCGAGTTCGTTATACTGTAGCAGAGATAATAGAACAAATATGATATGTTTACGTTTAGAATTCAGCTTCCTGTTGATTAATTGTACGCATTGCTAGACAGCAGAAACAGCTGAACATTCCTTTTTTCATTTTAATCTGTTTTTTCATGTAAAATCTATTTTACAGGCTAATTTAAAGGCAATCATTACTCTTCTTCCTCTTAGAGAACCCATTGCAAAACATTCAACTAATCTCACTTCTAAACAAAATTTTCTCGTGGCTTTACTACAGGGTGTTCTAAAAAAAACTTTGCGCGCTACAATCCTGAATTGTTAAGAAAGGCTTGGGTTATTTTTTGGGGTTTCTGAAAAACTGATTTTCCAGAAGACTGAATCTTCGAAGAGTTATGGGGAAGCCCCATGGTCATATTCGGAATCAGCATGGTCGCACAGTGGGTATTTTCCCATGGAGCAGGCGGACATCTGATTTTTTGAGTTAGAAAATGATTATTTTAGCATAATATGGTCTTACTATGTGTCAGATATTAGCAGAAGTAAAAAAGGTTGAATTCGAAAAAAAATTTTTTTTGACAAAAAGTTTCTTAGGGGGACCTTTGCCCTGAATTTTTGTCAAAAAATGTTTTATTTGTAAAACTAACAAACTATATATCATTCGACGTAGTTTTTCACGGTGATTCTGAATATGACTTTATGTTATGGAAAAAGTGCTCTTATGGGGGAGAAAAACGCGAATTACCTCGAAAACCTTATGGGTTTTTGTAAAATCAATAACTCGACTTAGAAAAAAAGACGAGATCATCATCGGTCTGTTCAGGCTTAGCGCTTTTTAGCACTGTCACTGCACTGAGATTGTCTCATGTCGGACCGTAGTAATCTAGACTGCTAGACCTTTTTTCGTTTCGTACAAGATGCAAAAGGAGTACCTTCTATTATCAGGAGATGTAATAGGTTGTGCTGATTCCGAATATGTGCTTTGGATAGGGTAATATTGCATGTCTGTACATAGAAATAAGAATCTTTGCAGATGTGTCATATTTGATGGTGTTTTTTGTGAATGTTCGTAAGTTAACTTACTCATCGAAGGAGTTCATTACTGGTCGATCATTATATACCATTCGATAGCGCTTTTCAAGAACTACATTTACCACTGTTCGAATTCAAAAAAGCTCACTTGTCGATTTTTGCTCGAATTTCCGCCTGAATGCCCACGGTGGATCGATAACCTATAACCCACTAGATGTCGATCAAAAAGCGATTTATCACCTCGGGAGGTTCCCTCGTAAGAGCTTTTCTCATGAAACAACATTCAGTTTACGGAAGGTCCTAAGAGGGTATCTTTCTTGTTTTTACGTGTTAATTGTCCTTATTTTGATTGTATGGGACCTTCCGTAAATTGAATGCTAGTTTATGAGAAAAACTCTTAGGGAGCTCGGAGACGTTTCATTTTGTCCAGAAATCTTTGCTCTACTCGACTAAACTAATGGTAAAAAGTTCCATATTTATACACAAGAAAGCCAATAAATACAGAGGGAGTAAGTTGTTTTTGGGACACCCTGTAGTACATGGTTGATACTAAGAGATTTTATAAGAGTTTTATTTTCTTCCTTGTACGTCATGTGTAGGTTTTGCTTCGTTGTATAATATGTAATCAGAGAATAAGCTACCACTATGTACCTCTTTGAGTCCTCTTCTGTGTGCGTTTGATTCTGGTCAACATTTAACGAAAATCGAAAGTGACATTTTCTCATGTTCACCTATGCGATACTATACCTCCCTCCCTATCAATCAAAAGCTGATAGCAGCTAAGGACTCGGATGTGATCATGTTAGGTTAAGAGATTTCTTGTAAAACTCTAATGATATTGTAACTTCTAAGTGAAGGACCCTGAAGCAGTTGATTTATGGTTCATGCAAGTTGATGCAATACCTTCTGTGAATCAGAATATCGGTTTTCGAAAATCCGATTTTTCAATGTAATTTTGACTTTTCTTAACTTCTGATCAATTACTTTTGAAGATTAATGTCCGATTCACGTTCAGCATCATGTAGAAAACAATAATGGAAAAAGATTTTAATTAAAATTTTAGTCATTGAACTTTCCATGGCGAATATCTTTTCTTTGAAAACATTTCTTCGTCGTTTTTGAGGTGTTGTTATGACTAGCAAAATGGCAATTATCAATCTCTGTCTACTATTATGGTTAAAATGCTCACTGTACTCGGTGTTAAGAATTTAACTCGATATTATAAGCTTCTTATGTATGAGAATCTTGACTAAGTTTTAGTTTAACGAAGGATTTTCTTGAGATTCCATCTGTAACTCTTGGCAACAGAACGTTATAATGGAGGCCAAAATGAGATTGTTCGTATTCCGCAAAAATCTTCACTTAGAAAGACGTCGGAGAGTTCGAGTTAGTTTGAAGTTGGTACTTATGATTACGACGTATTGAATAAACATTGGTATTACTCATTCGATATTGTAGGTTATTAGGTATATATATAATAACATTTTCTCGCAATCAACTATTATTTTCTAACTTTTTATGCAAATAATATTTTCGTATTCGGTGACAAAAAGAATTTTTATTCTATTTATATTTGTACAATGAATAATGTGCATTGGGAATTCAAGCTAATTTTAAATATAAAAAGATTTACATAATGTTTGTCTTCTTATTTAATTGAATTATGTGAGATACGAAATACTATTAATAACATTATAGTCACATTTTTCTTTATATACTATGCAATTAAGATAGGTTAAATTTGCGCCCAATTGAAGCTGTTTTGGTTGGTGAACACGTTACTGTATGGCAAGTAACAAAGATTAGAGCGTTTTCTAATCTTTTACATGGAGCTAACGAGAGAAGGTCCCCAACTACTTCACGCCGTTTTGGTTGGTATTTTGCCATAAAAAATTCCATAGCGAAAGCGTCTAGTTATCTAAGGAAAAAATGCACTTACGAGGGAAGATCCCCAACCGATTCACGCCGTTTTGGTTGGTATTTACCCACATATAGAGTATATCAT